ACCTACCGGAGCAACTTCAGCTCGGTTCGTGCGCATCGAAAAGTTCGGTGCCTGCGATGACCGCAATGCCTGCCGACAAATGCTAAGGAGGCGTATGGATCCCTATACGCGTTGGGAAGAGCGTAGAACGACCTGAATCTAGTTGCCTATTCGAGTGGCGCATGCGCATATACACCTACCAGAGCAACTTCAGCCCGGTTCGTGCGCACTGAAAAGTTCGGCGCCTTCGACGACCGCTGTGCCTGCAGACAAATGCTAAGGAGGCGCGTGGATCCCTATAGGCGTATGGGAAAGCATCGAACTACCCGAATGCTGTTGCATATTCGGGTGGCCCATGCTGAAATAGTCCTACAAGAGCAACTTCATGAAAGAATGTGATGTTTGTCTAGCCTGCAGTGGGGTACTCTATAGCGAGTACAACCCGAATTAGGGTTTCCTATATGTACTCAACTGCTTGCTAGTGAATGTCAGTAATAACGGACTGGAATGATGAACTAGCAAGGATGGTGAGTACAAATATGAAACCCTAATATTGTGTACCCCCTATAGGCTAACCCACTACAGCCTACACAAATACAACATGTATAATGTTTGACACACCTCCATAGGCAAAGTGGGGGAGACCTAGGGGTCACAAGACCAGTCAAGGCAAAGCAAGGCAACAACAAGCTCAGGGTGGATCTCAAGGATTCCACACAAATTCCGAGCACAAGCTAGTGGTCACAAGACCAGTTCACATGCAGGTTTATAACAGAACAAGAGATACAGTGATCACAACCTAGCAAGAGTAAACATGCAGGTATAGATATATATAGTGATCACAGTACAAGCAAAGTCAAGAGGTAAGTAAGTGAGGTCCAGTAGGCACAAGACCTAGTAGAGTGCAGAAGCGCTGATGGTCACGAGGCTGAAGCGCCTTGGTGAACACATCAGCAGTGTTGGCCTCAGTGGCCACGTAGCGAATACAAAGCTGACCGCGCTGCTGCAGCTCACGAGCAAGGAAGTACCGCAGGGCGATGTGCTTCGTTCTGTGCTCCAGTCTGTGCTCCTCACACAAGGCAATGGCAGCCTTGTTGTCGACGTACAGTACTGGAGGAGAACGAGGCCGCTCTCCGAGGTCGGTCAGCAGGTAGGTCAGCCAGCGTAGCTCCTGGGCAGCCATGGCTGTAGCGTAGATCTCAGCCTCGCAACTGGAGCCGAGAACAGAAGAAGAGCGTGTAGAGCGCCAAGAAACTGAGCCAGAGCCAAGGCTGAAGGTGTAACCCTGAGACGACCGCTGAGTGGCCTGGTCGTCTGCCCAAGAAGCGTCTGAGTGCCCTGTGAGAACAACTCGGTCTCGCCCTCCAAGCACAAGCCCCATGCCCGACGTACTGCACAAGTAGCGCAACACCCTCTTAGCGGCATCCATGTGCTCCTTCCTGTGACGGCCAGGAGCGACATAGCGTGCAAGGATGCTAAGAGGGTATGCAAGGTCAGGTCGAGTGCAGGTCATCAGGTACATGAGGCAGCCCACAAGCTCTGGATACGGGCCACTCGGCTCTACGGACTCATCCGAAGGCAGAGCTGAGAGCGAGTGACCGGTAGGCAGAGGAGTGGACTAAGGCGAGGAGTACGTGAAGCGGAAGCGCTGGAGAACCTGCTGCACCATGTGTGACTGAGTCAGGGTGATGGTGCGCCGTGCTCTGTCCCGGGTGATCCGCAAGCCAAGATAGCTTGTCAGCTCACCCAGGTCTGTGCACGTGTGTCTCCTCTGCAGCTCCGACTTCACGTAGGCGAGTCCTGCAGTGTCAGCAGTGGCAAAGACCAAGTCGTCGACGTACACGAGGATGTAGAACGGCGGCAGCGAAGTGTCGGTGCGCAGGAACAGCGACGGGTCAGCAGTAGAAGGAGCGAACCCAAGAGCCGCAAATGTAGTCCTCAGTGTGTCGTGCCACTCACGCGGAGCCTGGCGGAGACCGTAGACCGGCCGCTGAAGCCTCCACTGGGTACCAGGAGGAAACGACCCAGTGAAGCCAGGTGGGCGGCGCAGCCAGATCTCCTCGTGCAGGCTGCCCTGCAAGAAAGCAGTGCTGAAGTCAAGTGAGTGAAGCTCGTAGTCGCGCTGAGCGGCTATGTGCAGCAGCACCCGAAGAGTAGTCATCTTCGGGGTGGGGGAGAAGGTCTGGAAGAAGTCAACTCCCTCTCGCTGACTGAAGCCTCGAGCAACGTAACGAGCCTTGAAGAAAGGCGGAGAACCCGGCGGCCGCTTCACCCTGAAAATCCACATGCCACTGACGATGTTCGCCCCAGGAGGGGGAACCTCGTCGACATAGGTGCGTGTGGACTTCCAGGAAGCCATCTCTGCGTCCATGGCTGTCTGCCACTGAGAGGAGTAGGGACCCGCCATCGCCTCAGCGTAAGTGCTGCGGGGTCGGGATGTCTGGTGCATCCGGGTCTCCCTCAGGGGCAACTAGCAAGGACACGAGACGGGGCAAAGCAGCAGCAAGACACTGGAACTCCTCCTGACGGACGGAGGACAGACAGACTCAGACTCAGACTCAGCAACAAGGCTAGCAGCGTAGTCTAGACGACAGGCAGCAGCAAAGTCAACCAACTCAGCGACCAGAGCAGACGCAGCCGAGGACTCAAAGGTAGGGTCAGTGACAACAGTAGCAAGGAGACGCGTGACAGTAGGGTGCTCAGCACGATACCGGTCAGACTCAGGGTCCGGAACGGCAGGCAAAGAGGACGCAGGAGGAGACGGTAGAGGGACACGCTGAGGAGCAGTAGAGGGACGCAGAGTCATGTAGTGAGTGCCTGGGACAGGAGGAGGACGCTCACGACGGACACGACTACCAGTGCGAGCAGGACGAACAGGCGACGCAGGACGAGACTCAGGCTCACGACGCTCTGTAAGACCTCCTGTGGGACCAGTGTAAGGAGGGGGAGCAGGGAGAGGCGAGGTAGACGGTAACTGTGACTGCGGCTGGACAGGCGGAGGACACTCTACGGAGGGAGGAGGACAAGGAGGAGGAGCCTGCCCAAGAACCTGCTGAAGGAGCGGTACGAAGTACGGTCGCGGCCGCGCAGCGTCTCCGGAAGCAGAGGAGACTCCAGCGGCCGGGTCCTCAGTACCAGTAGGAGCTCCAGCGTCCGGGTCCACAGCACCAGCAGCAGCTCCACCGGCCGGGTCCTCAGCACCAGTAGTAGCTCCAACGCCCGGGTCCTCAGCAACAGCAGCAGTGCCACCGCTCGGGTCCTCAGCTCCAGCAGCAGCTCCACCGTCCGAGTCCTCAGCACCAGCAGCAGCTCCACCAGGCGGGTCCGCAGCACTAGCAGCAGCTCCCACGTCCGGGTCCTCAGCACCAGCAGCAGCGCCACCCCCAGGGTCCGCAGCACCAGGAGCACCACTCCGAAGACTGCAGCGCCGTGTGTACCACTCGCGGATCTGCTGAATGGGGGGGAGCTCCTGGGTAGGAGGGGAAGTACCGGGACGAGCTCCAGCAGCACCTCTCCGGAGGCGGCAGTACTCGAGGTACCTCTCCTGCAGCTGCTGGGAGGAGAGGGCTCCTCCAGGTGTAGCACGCTCAGGCTCAGCACCCCCAGACTCAGCACCCCCAGGCTCAGCACCTCCAGGCTCCGCACCTCCAGGCTCCGCACCTCCTGGCTCAGCACCCCCAGGCTCCGCACCCCCAGACTCAGCACTCCCAGGCTCAGCACCCCCAGACGCAGCACCCCCAGGCTCAGCACCCCCAGACGCAGCACCCCCAGGCTCAGCACCCCTAGCAGGACGAGAGTCAACAGCTACCTCGACAGGCTCACCCGGGTCTACCTGGGACACACCTGAGGGAGCGGCACCCTGAGGGGGGAGGGGGTCTGGTACCTCAGCACCTGGAGCGAGGAAGAGAGGCGGGGGGGGAGCGGGGCAGTGCGGTAGGGGAAGAGGCGGTAGTAGGGGACGGACTCGTCAAAAGTGACATCCTGAGAGGCCAGGACACGACGCGAGGTGGGGTGGTAGAACTGCCAGCCAGGGGCGTCCGGGACAAAGCCAAGGAAGACGCAGGGGACAGCGCGACGGGAGAGCTTGTCCGCGGACGTGTCGCGGACAAAAGCTCGGGATCCCCAGACCCGAAAACGCGACGCATCGCCAGCCTCTCCCGTCCAACGCAGTGTCGGAGAAGTCTCGGGCAAGGAGACACGGGGCCAGAGGTTGAGCTGATGCGCAGCGTATCGGACTGCAAACGGCCACAGAAAATGGGGGGCAGCCGCATGGCTCAAGGAGGTACGAGCGACCTCCATGACCAGACCAATGCGGCGCTCAGCAACCCCATTCTGATGTGGAGAGGCCGGAAGCGTGTACGACTGCTCAATGCCCTCCTGCTGACAGAAGGCCTCCAATAGGCCAGAGGAAAACTCCCCACCTCTGTCAGAGTGCAGACGCAGGACAGGGAAGTCGGAGCGGAAACGCTCACGGAGCTGGAGACAAGATCTGCGGATCCAAGGGATCAAGACATCAGGGACGTCACCCTTGGCGCGCAAGGGGAAGACCGTGGTGTAGCGCGAGAAGTCGTCAACAACAATCAGGAAGTACCTCTCCTGACCCTGACCACGGACGCGGGCTGGGCCCCACACGTCCATGTGGAGCGTCTGCAAGGGAGCAGTCGTCGGGGGAAAGGAGGAGGAGTGAGGAGCGGCGCGCTGCCGTCCCTCGACACAGGGAATACAGGGAGGAGCAGGCGAGTCGGGAAGGGGAGGGAGCACCCTGGGAAGACCAGCAACAAGGTCCCGTTTGTGCATGGCCCGAAGGCGCTGCACAGACGGGTGACCAAGGCGGTGGTGCCAAAGAACAGTCTCATGCGCCAGAGAGCGACACGAGCAGGGGGCGGACAGCTGACCTGACGCAGACGCAGACGCAGACGCAGCTACCTGAGGGGACTCAGTGGTCAGTGTGTAGAGGTCCGACCCCGGCTCCCGAGTGAAGGTAGCCAGGTGGCGACCCGTCCGAGCACACGTGCAGTGTGTCACGCGCTCGTAGGCAGGGGTGAACTGGTGAACACCCCCGTCCTGGAGCGCACTACCTGCCACCAAGTTCGTAGAGAACGAGGGGAGGTAGAGACCTGACAGCGTGCCGGACGGGACCGCCGGACAAGGAAGGACAGTGGAGGAGGTCGCAATGACCGGACCCCCAGAGGGGTCAGCAAGGGAGACAGCAACTGGCCGAGCGAGTGGCTCAAGGACAGTGCGGTCACGAAAGAAGGAGCGAGAAGCACCTGAGTCCAGTGTGAAGGTGTGCAGTGCTGCAGTCGACTCAGTACCAGGGGGCACGGACGCACGAGCACCTAGGGCAGCGGCCTCACCAGGACCTGTGGGAGCAGACGCACTAGCACCTAGAGCGGCAGCCGGACTGGCCTGAATGCCCGGGTCGGGCGGAACACGCAAGTACTGAGCACCCTCTCCACTAATAGACATCGCATACATGGCAGTGAGAATAGCATCAAAGTCTAAAGCCCAAATATCAACACCCCTCTTTTCCAGATCAGCCCAGCGCGGCAGCTCAGTGGCAGCAGGAAACTGAGTGCGCCACGCGTCGTTAAGGCGCGCGAAGCAGCGCTGCGTGGGGTGCGGCCTCCCACACTGCTGGCCGCTGCGGTCACCTGTGCGAATGACGTACGTGCAGGTAACGCTACGCTGCGCATACCACTCACGGGCGGCCTGAAGTGTCGGGGCGGGCTGCTGACTCTGCCCTCCGCCAGTGCCTCCACGACCACCACCCCCACCGCCGCCGCCCCGGCCACCTCCACCCCTGCCGCCGCCACGACCACCTCCGCCTCCGCTGCCGCCTCCACCACCACTCCCGCCGCTGCTGTCTCCTCCCCCACTGCCGCCACTAGTCTCCCCAGCCGCGCCTCCACTCGCACCGCCTCCACCCCCACCTCCTCCGCCACCACCCCCACCCCTGCCCCCCTTGTTCCTGCGGCGCCCGCTCGAAGCAGACGCGGTCCCGACCTTCTCAGCACCAAGAAGGTCGACAGCAGCAGCAGAGGCGACAGAGGGGAGGAGGGGGGAAGGGGAACACCCCTCAAAGAACGGGGTGCGGGGGTCGCCACGAGAGGTGCCTACAGCGACGATGCTCGCCTCAGCTGCAAGCAGTTCCTTCTCGAGGAGGGCAACAGTGAGCTCAGTGGGGGAGCGAGAGAGGAAGAGGTCCCTGACTACGCGCAGAGAGTCAGGGAGGCGGGTGACGATGTGGTAGAGAGTGATCCAGAGCGGGGGGGGGTTGCTAGTGAGAAACTCGGCAGGCATAGCAGCGCGAAAGCGGGCCTCACTAGTCTTAAGGTGGGTGATGAGGTCTGCGACAGTGTGAAAGGAGGCTAGGTCGGGGAACAGGTAGGGGAGAGTGAGGCGGCCTAGCGTGGCAGAAGCGGGTGAGGAGTAGCGGGCAACTACAGCGGTGTAGAGGTCCTTAGCAGTCTTGCACTGGCCGAAGTGCTCGCGCTCGTCTAGCGGCAAGGAGTTGCGAATAGCAAAGCGAGCGTGCGCATCACGGGTCTGCCACTGGGAACGCAGAGTGCTGTCAGCAGACGAGTCAGGGGCAGTGGCATGGCCTAGGGCATGGTCGTACAGTGAGATATCTTCCTTGGCAGTGAGCTGTAGGAACAGGTGCAGGTCATCGAGCCAGGTTTCGAACTTCACTGGACGGCCCTCGGCATCGAAAGCTAGAACTGGCGGACTAGCCATAGTGACAGTAGCAGTAGTAGTAGTGGCAGTAGTAACAGTAGTAGTAGGAAGCGTGGCAGCAGGAACTGCAACGGCGCACTGGTGGCAGCTGCAGTGGTAGCAGTGTGCGCGGTAGGTAGAAAAGAAACAGCAGTGAGATCGAGTGCCTCGCGGGCAGCGGCTGCAGAGGCGCACGGGCAGCAGCGGTGCACAAGCAGCAGCGGAAGCAGCGGCGTACTAACGGCTGCGAGCAGGCGACGAGCGGCTGCGGGCGGGCGGCCGCTGCGACGGCGGGCTGCGGGCCTGCGGGGCGTGCGCGAGCGGCAGCGGCTGCTGGCCTGCGGCGCACTAGCGGTAGCGGGCGACTCGCGGGCGGCGGCTGCAAAGGCGCACGGGCGGCAGCGGCTTATGCGCACGGGCAGCAGCGCCGACAGCGCACGGGCGGCTGCAGCAGCGAGCGGTGCGCAAGCAGCAGCGGCAGCAGCGCACAGGTGGCAGCGGCGTCGGTGCACGGGCGACAGCGGTGTCGGTGGACGGGCGGCTGCGGGCAACGGGCGTGCGGCAGCTGCGGCGGCGAGCTGCGGGCCTGCGGGGCCACGGCGGGGTGCGCGCGAGCGGGCGACGGGCGGCTGCAGCAGCGGGCGCGTCAGCGAGGCGCACGAGCAGCGCGCGGGCAGCGTGCGGGGCCGCGCGTAAAGAAAAACAGCCGCGCGCGTGCGGCTAGCGGGGCGCGCGCAGCGAAATCGACCGCGCGCGGGCGGCTAGCGGGATACGCGCGCTAAAAAAAAAAAAAAAAAAAAAGTCGAGTCGCGCGCGGGCGGCTGGCGGGCTGCACGTGCGCGGTAGGTAGGAGGCGCACGAGGGCGCGTAGGCGCACGAGGCGCACAGTAGGTAGGTAGGTAACGGTGGGCCCTAAGAACGGTCCTAGCGAAGGACCTGCTCTGAAACCATGTCAGTAATAACGGACTGGAATGATGAACTAGCAAGGATGGTGAGTACAAATATGAAACCCTAATGTTGTGAACCCACCTATAGGCTAACCCACTACAGCCTACACAAATACAACATGTATAATGTTTGACAGTGAAACCCCTCTTCGCCTGTTTCTCGTTTTCGCCTAGCCTGTTTAACATGCTATCAGAGCAGGTCGACCCTCCTGGGTCGATCCTGTGGGTGGTCCCACCAGAAGCTTCCGCTGCTGTTTCCTGTTGTGTCCTGCCTGCCGCGCGCGCAGACCCGCGCCCGCGCGGGCGCCCCCCGCCGGTCTTCCCCCGTCGACGGTCGCGTCACCCCCCGCCGGAGCCCGTCGCGTCGCCCCGCGACCCGCGCGTCGCCCCCCGTCACCCGATGCGGCCCGCGCGACCTGTGCCCGGCCCGCGCGCGGCCCGTAAGGCTGTGCCAGGCCCGCGCGCGGCCCGTACAGCCCGCGCGCGGCCCGTACGGCCTGCGCCAGGCCCGCGCGCGGCCCGGGCAGCCCGCGCGCGGCTCGTCCGGCCTGCAACAGGCCCGTGCGCGGCCCGGGCAGCCTGCCCCAGTGCCGCATGCCATCCCCTGAGCTTTTGACGGCGCCCCACCCCTGCTGCTGCCCGCGTTCCTGTGTTAGGGTTTGGGGGTGGAGAGTATGGGGGTGCCGTGTGTGTGAGCCGTCCCCTGCTCCTCCTCCTCCTCCGTCTCCCACTGCTGCAGCTGCCGCTGAGGGGGGTGGATGTGTTGGAGCCGTCGGAGTGGTACGAGGGGGGTGGCGTGTGAGCGGTGCTAGTGGTTCAACAGGGAGTGTGTGAACGGGGTGTGGGACAGTTGGGGGAGGTTGACCGGAGGTAGCCGACTTGTCGTCCGCAGCGCCTGAAGTCCAGGGAGCCACGACCCCCTGTGGCCTGAGTAGTCCGGGGCTCTGCGCCCGGTAGCCACAGTGTGAGCACTCCTGGTAGTCCAGAGAGCCACGACCCCCTGTGGCCTGAGTAGTCTGGGGCTCTGCGCCCGGTAGCTACAGTGTGAGCACTCCTGGGAGCACAGTGAGCCAGCTGCGTCTGTCGCCGTGTAGTCCGGGTTTAGCCTGGTAGCGACAGTGCTGCGCACTCCTGCTGCCCGTGTGTCTGCAGCTTCGGCCGTCGCCTCCCATCTTCTCGCCCCCACAGTTTCTCCTCCTCCTCACGTGCCCTCTGTGATAGCCTCTAGCTTTGCTTATAATTGTGAACTATTGCTCTGCCTGCTTGTTGTGTTGATTGTACCCCACTTTGACTATGGGGGTGTGTCAGAATGTGATGTTTGTCTAGCCTGCAGTGGGGTACTCTATAGCGAGTACAACCCGAATTAGGGTTTCCTATATGTACTCAACTGCTTGCTAGTGAAACCCCTCTTTGCCTGTTTCTCGTTTTCGCCTAGCCTGTTTAACACTTTAGTCCGGTTCGTGCGCACCGAAAAGTTCGGCGCCTGCGACGAGCGATGTGCCTGCCGACAAATGCTAAGGAGGCGCGTGGATCCTTGTAGGCATAGGGAAAAGCATCGAACTACCCGAATGTTGTTGCATATTTTAGTCGCCCCTGCTCAAATACACCTACCAGAGCAACTTCAGCCCGGTTCGTGTGCACCAGAAAGTTCGGCGTCTGCGACGAGCTCTGTGCTTGCCGACAAATGCCAAGGAGGCACGTGGATCCCTATAGGCGTAGGGAAAAGCATCGAACGACTTGAATGTTGTTACATATTTGGGTGGCACATGCTCAAATACAACTACCGTACTAGAGCAACTTCAGCTCGATTATTTCGCACCGAAAAGTTCGGCGCGTGCGACGACCGGTGTGCCTATCAACAAATGCTAAGAAGGCGCGTGGAGCCTCATAGGCGTAGGGAATAGCATCGAACGACACGAAGGTTGTTGCATATTCGGGTGGCCCATGCTTAAATACACCTACCAGAGCAACTTCAGCTCGGTTATTGCGCACCGAAAAGTTTGGCGCCTGCGACGACCGCTGTGCCTGCCGACAAATGCTAAGGAGGCGCGTGGATGCGTGTAGGGATAGGGAAAAGCATCGAACGACCCAAATGTTGTTGCATATTTGTATTGCCTCTATTCAAATACACATACTAGAGAAACTACAGCTCGGTTCGTCCGCACCGAAAAGTTCGGCGCCTGCGATGACGGCTCTGCTTGCCGGCAAATGCTAAGGAAGCACGTAGATCTCAATAGACATAGGGAAAAGCATCGAACGACCTGAATGTTGTTGCATATTCGGGTGGCCCATGCTCAAATACACATACATGAGAAATTTCAGCTTGGTTAAAAGTTCGGCGTTTGTGATAACGGCTCTGCCTGCCGACAAATGCTAGGGAAGCGCGTGGATCGTTATAGTCGTTGGGAAAAGCATCCATCCTTACAAGAATCAACTTGGATGTGTAGGTAGTACGTACTCTCTTTTGAAATGCTGTAATTTTTATTCATTTCGTTGGGAACTAGACCTTCATTTCATGACAACGGTTCTGGTGATTCGCTCGTCGTTGATTTCCTTCCCCCTCGCTCCCTCAGGCGCCCTCCCTCTCTTCCCTCGATCCGTGGCTGGCAGAACGATTCGTCAACTCGTTTGTGTGGGGCCCGTGATGCGTTCGTGCCTTCGTGTCACGTATAGGCTGGCAAATATCAATTCATGTCGGGGATACCTGCTGATGCGTGGAGATTCACTTCACACCCCGAAACGTACGGATGCAGCCTGAACCTGGTTCTTGCATTATCCCACCCATCGTAACAGTCCCCCCCTCCCCCATACACCGCACCGCAGTTCCCGCCATGCGTTCACGCATTCATGGCACCCCCCTTTTCTGCTCCATCCATGTGAGCTAGAGCACCCACTGGCCTGAGGACAGCAACCGCAGTGCACACGGGCACTACCATGTTCGCCGCAACCCCAGGCGTCATCATCACTGCAGCTCGCTTTCTGTCATCATATCACATCTAAGCTATTGGGATCTAATCGGGTGGTCTTGCTAGCCGTCCCCTGATAACCCTCACGTCACGGCGACACGCCGCATAGGAAGCAAACCCGTGGCGTTGACTTTAGCTCGTTCCAACTTGCAGCGCATGGAGGTGTAAAGTCGCTCCTTAGTCACCTATTCGGTTCCTGGTAATTTTCTTACCTCCTAAGTTTCGGTTTTCCATTTTCCACGCGGTTCGCTTTCGTTCAGAGTTCTACACTTTCACATCGTTTTCCCAGCAGCACCACTGGCGCCGTTTCGCTGTCCCCTCACGCACTCTGTCTCCCCACCCGTCTCTTCGTACCCGTTGATATTCAGAAGCCGCGCTTACATGAAACGAACCCCCGGCCGCGGCGGCTCAGATGGCGCGTCGCAAGGATTCTCCTCCACAGCCGCCGCTTCCGCCGGCGCAGGAGGCGGAAGCGCCGTTGGAGTATTTAATTGCCGAGATCGGCTAAGGGGGATGGGTCGACCTCAATTAGTGCTGCTACTGGTAGTGGGGACTGCGGTAATCGCGGCGCATCTAGTGGTCTTTACGGCGATCATTCGTCGCAGCTTGCATCACTGCGGGCCGGCAGCGGATTCGCCAGCCGGTTGGGCAGTCGGCGATGCGAGAGACGCCGCCGGCGCGGGAGATTCCAGCAGCAGTAGTCTTAGCAGTAGCGGTGTTAGCGTGTCCGCGGGGAGCGCCAATACCGCGGGGGAGGGCCGCATCGGCGGAGATGGGGGGGACGGCGCAGTGCGCGAGGGCGGAAAGGTTCCGCCTCAGTTCATCATGTACCGGATTATAGGGAACAACATGCCGCCCTTGCAGTGCCCCAGCCAGCTCCTCTGGAACACCCAGGTGCGCGCGAGCGAGCGTGTGAAGCGAGCGCCTGTCCTGCGAACCCTAGAGGAGACACGCGACTCGGCCAGATTCTCTGCCACGCGCAAGCTCTCCGCTGCCTTCCCCGCGCATTCTCCCTCCCACCCGCTCGTTCTGCTCCTCCCGTATGTGTCGTGCGCTCGGGCGTTCTGCTGAGTTTACACAGTCCCGTGGACCTAAATTAGGTCTTCTCCGAATGCGCATGCTTGCACTGCCGTCATGTCTACCTACTTTCATCGCCATAATTCGATTCAGCCGCTTTGTTTTGATAACCCCCGCTGATCCCTTCCAATCCGCGCACGACCTCGCCGCTCGTGGCCATGCAGCGGCTGCTTGTCCATGAACCCGTCTTATGTCCCATTTCTCTGCATCATCACGCTCCCTCCCTCCCCTCCCCTCCCTCCAATGGCCCTCCCTGCCGTCCTCCCCCTCCCTCCCCTCCCCTCCCAATCCCCCCTCCATCTCCTCCCTCACGTCCCTCCCATCCCTTCTCCCATACCCTCTCTCTCTCTCTCTCTCCCATTTCCTCCTCCCAATCCCCTCCCTCCCCCCTGCACCATTCCCTTGCGTGGTCCTACCGTGAGTGCAGTACGCGTTGCGGCACGAGGGCGAGTTGGAGGGGTGTGAGAAGCGGTGGGTGATAAACCAGATAGTGAACCGCACGGAGCGGGCACTGCTCATCGACTCGCTGCTGGCGCACGGCTACTCGCTCAACCACATCCTCATCCGCCGCCTCAACCTCTCCAAGGTGCTGCTCTCACTGCTCTACTGCCACACCACTGTGACCAACTGCTTCAAACACGAGATTACTCCTATCCTCCTCTTTCCTGTTGTTACTCCTGTCCCCCTCCCTTCTCCCGTTTCCCTATCCCGGCTTCCTTCATCGTCCATTTCACCGAACCCAGTTAACTCTTCCACTTGCTTGTGTTGGCTCCTGTTCCGCTCCATCCCCAAGCCTAAGCACCCAGACCCTTGCACATGCTATCCAGCGCCTCCGGATTCGAGTGCACGCCGCAACAGCCTCACCCCTCTCTTCCATCCCCTCCTCGCCACTCCGCACGCCCCCGTGCATGCGGTGCCGTGCAGATATCTGAGTACCCGCGGGAGCAGTGGTTGGACGTGGTGACAGCGCAGAACGAGGCGCGCAACGCGGCCATCGAGGACGGTGTGAGGGCGGGCGCGCGGTGGATCCTGCCACTGGACGGCAACCACTTCATCACCCAGGAAGCCTGGGCTGCCATCCGCCGATCTGCCGAGCAGGCGGAGAGCAAGGGGTACAAGTACTTCAAGGTCCGTGCTGGAGTGATTGTGGCTGCCAGTACACACACCCCCAGGGATTGGTCGGGCTGCTGGGGGTCTGAAGGGCCCAGTAGACTGCAAGTCAGTTGGCTGCTCGGGCTTGGTCTGCAATTTTGCACGCATGGCTTGCTCTTAGCACACACACCCTCCCTCTCGTAACTATTCCATGTGCCTTTTTAGCAGGAACACCCAGCATTTTTTTCCGACATCCACATACCCTCATGTATGTTCTCTGAGCCCCTCACCCACCATTCCCCCCGTGCTTTCCATGTGTGTGTGTGTGTCGGCAGGTGCCAGTGCACCGGCTGCACGCGGAGCAGAAGCCAGCGTGGCTGCACGGCAACTCCACCTTTGCCACCATCCGCCGCTACATACCGCAGATGATCGAGAGCCAGCTCGCCTTCCGCTACGATGCTCCTGAGCGATTCAAGGCTGGTGAGTGCCAGTGCTGGCGGGTGGAGGGAGAAGGGAGGGCTAATTGTGAGCGATGGGTTGGAAGGTCGAGGTGGAGGTCAGGAGAGGTGAGAGAAATTTGTCGGCTGGTTGAAATGTGCTGACGAGCTCACCACAATATGTTGTATTCCCTTCCCCCCATACTCCCACTACCCTTCCCTCCTTCCTTCTTTCCTTTTTTCCAACCGCCCCATGCTCAACCTCTGTAATCCCAGCTCCGTGCACTTCCGCTCATCCATATTCCCTCCTTTCCGAACCACCCTCCCAGGCATGGTGTACGGCATGCAGAACAAGCTGGAGCTGCTGCAGCGTGCGTGTGGCGTGCCGGGGGAGGCGGGGTACCAGGAGCAGTGTGGGTGCGCCGACCTGGGCAAGGAGGGGCAGCTGCACCCTTCCGACCCCAAAATTGCCGCCGCCTGTGGCTACTCCCTGCGCCTCTGGTTCTTCCCCTGCAACGGCACAGAGCCTGACAAGGTGTGTGCTGGCAAAGGCGATAGAACACCTTTGGCTCGACGGATCAGTGTGTGCAATCCCTGCAGCGGGATTGAGTGGAATGTCTTTTGTGTGCCTCTGCAGTTTCTTTGGCTATCTTGCACGTGCTGCTGAGTCTTGCACGTAACTTGTTGCCTGCTCCCCCGTCTTCCTTCGTGTCCAACAGGTGTTTAACAATGGTCTATACCGCAAGAGATTGCGCACCAAGTCTCGACAAACCATGCATGCTGTAATCAAGAACCTTATGCGCCATCCAAATGTTTTCTACGTGTGACAAGTAGTGTGTCTCTTTGGAAATTGCAGTTTTCCATTGTTTTTTGCAATGGCTTATTAATATCTGTAAAGGGAAATTCGGTCATTGCTAGAGGTTATTGCTACAGATGTCGACTTGCCCTGTATCAAGGCTCCCGAGCCTTTCTATGCGGGCCGCAACTTCTTGCCAGCGCAGCAAGGTTGTCCCCATCCGCTCAGAGAAGCACCAACCGCGTTGCATCATCCCCGCGACTGTGGAGCTGGCTGTCAGATATTTCATATCTATCCGCTGCCGTGGCAGTGCTTTCCCGCTTCACTCACAGCACCACACCGCAAAATTTCCGTAGTGCACAACACTTTCAGTGGTTGCGCGTACGATGTTTTCGTTTTGATCTGGCTTGATCGCTTTGATGTCATTTCGCTTATTCCTCAGAGTGTGTGCATCAGTCGTATTGGTTCCTTCCTCATTGTCCTACACATTGATGACTCTGCTCTCGTGCTTTAGGACCTCAGTGACTCGCACGCCATTCAAGCCGTGAAACTGAAACGTTGGATACTGAAATGGACGACGCAAAAGCGGGAGGGAGTACAGCAGAAGAGGCTAAAGGAGGAGAGGTCAAAGTAGAAGAGTCTAAACCGAAAGAGACTGGACTCGGAGACGCTAAAACGGGAGAGACTGGAGCCGGCGAAGATAAAGCGGGAGAGAATAGAATGGACGAGGGTAACAGGGGAGAAACTGGAACAGAAGTGGGTGCAGTGAGAAGCAAAGAGGCTGTAGAAGAAGAGACAGGAATGCAGGATTCGAAAAAGGGAGAGACCGGAACAGAAGAGGCTGACGCGAGACCGATCAGAACGGAAGAGGCTGAAGCGGGTGAGACGAGAACGGAAGAGGTTGGAGCGGGAGTGACTAGAGTGGAGGATGCTATAACGGGGGAAGCTGGAATGGAAGTGGATGAAGCGAAAGAGGCTGAAGGGGGGTTGCCTACCACGGGAAAGACTGAAGCGCGAGAGACAATCATGCAAGAGTTTAAAGAAGGAGAGACGAAAACGGAAGAAGCTGACGCGGGAGTGATTGCAACGACAGAAGTTAAAACGGGGAGCAACCTGGCAGGCGCTACAGCGGGAGAAACTAAAATGGCGGAGGTTGAAGCGAAGGAAACTGCGACTGAGAAGGTTGAGGGGGGAGAGACTGCAGTGAATGGGCTTGAAGCTGGCAAACCGGAAGAGACGAAAGCGGAAGAGGTTGAAGTAGAAGAGATTCACATGGACGAGGCTGAAGCGAACGAGGCAGTGGAGGAGGACTCACCTTGGGATCTACTGGAAATTCCGGCAGACTGCTTGCCTGGAGGGAATGCGGAGAACAACGGTAGCGCAGCTGCTGGTGCGGGTGCTGCGGCCGAGGGACGTTCAACAGCGTCACCGGCATCCGGTGCGAGCAGGGCGATGGGTGCTGACCTACTCCGAGAAGCTTGCGCCGATCTCCTCGCCGATAGCCCCCAACGCTCGCTGACCCTGCGCGAGCTACTCCCTGCGTTGAAGTCACTTAATCGCGCTGACCTGGCGCCAGCTCTAGCGGAGGTGATAGGCGCGGCGGAGGGCAGGAGTCGAGGTTCCGCGCACGAGGGGCGTCTGCGGAGCGTTCTTACCGCAGATTCGCGCTTCACGATTCAGGGAATGGGGAAATCGGTGAGCGTTGCGCTGGCGGCTGCGGAGAGTGACAGGGAAGAGGGGGAAGGCGCAGGCAAGCGGAAGATGAAGGCGGGACGCGAAGGGAAGCGCGGGGGAAAGGCGGAAGGGGAGGCAGAGGTTGCCAGTTCAGGGAGGAAAAGGCGGAAGGGAGTTGCGGAGGATAGGGGGGAGAATGCGGAGAAAAACTCAGGGGAGAGGAAACGAAGAAAAAGTACCGGCGGAGGAGAAATCACGGAAGACGAGGAACGGAAAGAAGGAGCTGAAGAGAACAAGGTGAGTCGTGTAACCGGAAGTGAAATCATGCTGTTCATGTATGGCGAGAGTAATCCACTGTCACGTCCGTCTGTTAACGCGCTTCACCCGTTGCTTAAAACCAACAATAACCAGATAGTGTTTCCAATTATGCATAATTGAATTCAACCACCTAACAAGACGTGCAAATGCATGAGTCAAACGTTTCCCTATCTGTGAGCACACGTGTGTACGCCCGTGCCTGCACACGCCCGTGTGCATGCTACTTCTCATGTTTAAACACATGCGCATGTGTAATGCGTGTGTGCGTATGCGCGTGTTGTGTGTGTGGTGTGTGCGTAACGAGTGGGCGTGTGCGTGTGGGTGTGTGCGAGTGCGTATGCGAGCGGGCGTGTGCATGGGTGTGTGCGTGTGTGTATGCGAGTGGGCGTGTGCGTGGGTGTGTGCGTGTGCGTATGCGAGTGGGCGTGTGCGTGAATGTGTGCGTGTGCATTTGCGAGTGGGCGTGTGCGTGGGTGTGTGCGTGCGCGTTTGCGAGTGGACGTGTGTGTGGGTGTGTGCGTGTGCGTGTGCGAGTGGGCGTGTGCGTGAATGTGTGCGTGTGCATTTGCGAGTGGGCGTGTGCGTGCGTGTGTGCGTGTGCATTTTTGAGTGGGCGTGTGCGTCTGTGAGTGGGCGTGTGCGTGGATGTGTGCGTGTGTGTATGCGAGTGGGCGTGTGCGTGGGTGTGTGCGTGTGCGTATGCGAGTGGGTGTTCGTGTGCACGCGCTGAAGCGCATGACAGAGCACGAGTCGCATGTGCCATCAGTGCCAGCGCAACGACAAGGAAACCATCACCAGTTGCAGCAAGGTGCACACTCACCGCTTCTGCGGCGGCTGCATCCGCAACTGGTGAGCACAGGCGACAGGGGTGAGTGCATACCATGATAGGGGGGGCTGGAGAGAAAAGAAAGTATGGGGCTCTTGGAAGCAATTTACATTGATGATGTGAGTATGCAAGTGCAGTGGCTGCTGATCCATTCCAAGGTGCTACCACGCCTACCCCCATACACAAACAAACCCCGATCACCACTCCCTGCGTGCAACACTCATCCACTGGCCTGCCTTGTCCTGTGCGTGCACCAGGTACCCCTACCACACACCGGAGGAGATCCAGGCCATCTGCCCCAAGTGCCTTGGCGTCTGCAACTGCAAGACGTGCCTCCGCACCTTCATGCCCCCGCCCTTTGTAAGTCCCTCACACGGTTCTCGTTCTCTCCTCTCAGCACCAGCCCTTTTATCATCCACCCCAAATCCAACTGCAACCCCTTTTTCCTCCTCGCATCCAACTTGTCTTCCCCATAGCCGCCTCATTCTTACCACTCCGCAAAAATTCTCTCTCCCAACCTGGACACCACCTTGTCTCAAAACCCCCATTTCAATCTCTTTTCACTCCCGTTCTTCATCCTTCTTGCCCTGCTTATCCCTCTCACCCGCCTATACTCCATCCATGTGATTGGCATGGCAGAAGGCGGAGAGTTCCCCCGAGCAACAGAGGGCCATGGCTCGGTGGGTGCTGGCGTGGGTGATGCCGCATGTGAGGGCCATGCAGAAAGAACAGAAGCAAGAACTGGAGGAGGAGGCGGCTAGACAAGGCATCGACCCCTCTTGTGAGACTCTGCTCCCTTTCATCATTGCACGCCGACACCTTCAAGTTTTGTGTCTCTGCCTCCTGTGCCTCCTCCCTTGCCCTCCCACCCTTGCTCCTCCTTTTCTCTTCACCCATGACCCCTCACTCACCCATCACCGATCATCCCTTACTTGTCGCTCTGCACCCGCCTCTCTTCTAGCACCCTCACATGTGCCCTCCTGACATGCCTCTTCCTTCCGCCCACCCCCACCAGCATTGAAAGTGCAACGCGCACAGCTGCTCAAGGGCGAGAGGATATTCTGGTAAGTGTAATGAGGGGAAGACTGAGAGATGCGCAGGCAGTGGGACGATGAACGTGTGCATGCCCGTGTGGGAAGTTTCAGGGTTGTGTTTTGAGGTTGTGTATGAGGAGAGTGCAGGGTAGCACATGGATAAAGGGGCAGAACAGCAGAGCACAAGAGGCAGATAGGAAAGGTGAAGGGGAATGTCATAGAGCACCGGTGGGATGTTAGACGAGTGGATGAGGGGGGGAGCATAACATCTTGCCTTACATCCACTCCGCTCACAACCTCCTTATTGACCTGTCTCCCTCACCCCCTCACCCTCCCAGCCCCCTCTTCCTCTTCTTATCGTACTAACGCCAGCCTTTTCGATGCGCTCCCCTATCCTCACGTCCGCTTTGTCCTCTCCCACTTCCTCCCAGTTCGCACTGTCAGACGGGCATAGCTGGCTTGCACCGCAGCTGCCCTGAATGCGCCTACGACCTGTGCCTGCAGTGCTGCCGAGAAGCACGCTCAGGGGCTCTCCCTGGTGGGGCTAAGGCGTTCAAGGGGATGGTGGAGCAGGAGCGCGAGCAGGAGGAAGAGGGGGAGGACGGCGCAGAGGGAGAGAAAGCAGATGAGTCAGAGGAGGCGGAGGGAAAGGGGAAAGGCAGGTCGAGGAAAATTTCGGGAGGAAAGAGCAGCAGCAGGCGATCTAAGAGGGGCGCTGGGAAGCAGTCAGATGGCGGGGCTGATGAGATGGGCAGGGAAGGGGTTCCAAAGCATCTAGTAGAACGATGGAAGGTGGAGGAGGATGGGCGGTTGCAGTGCCCTTCCAAGGACTGCAGCAGTGCAAGGCAGGCATGCAAGCAGAGCGAGGGGCAAGGCGGGCAGGGGCCGTGGCTGGAGCTGCGGTCGCTGCATGCTGATGGGTGGCTGGCGCGGCTTGTGACACAGGCAGAGGAGGCTCTAGGAACGGATGGTGAGAGAAAGTCAGAGGAGATAGGGGGGACAGGAAATGGGATGGTGAAGTCGAGCGGGTCTATTGATGCCGCTGCTGTTGCTGCTGCTGCTGCTGCTGCTGCAGCGCAGAATGCACAAGTGGCATTTGGAAACATTCCCCTGATTGCTGCTGATCAGTTCCCGTGCTGCTCCCTGTGCCAAGAGCGAGCAACACAGGTTCTACAGGAGATGAATGGCGGAAGTAACAGCAGTGGTGGCAGTCAAGTTGCTGCTACAACCCCAACGGGAAGGATAGGGGAGCAAGAGGCAGCAAGGGAGAAGGAAAAGGAGGTAGGGAGGTACTACAGGAAGAGAGCCAATAAGGCAGTGAGCAAGGAGGGAGAGGAGGCAAAGGAGGGGCAGGAGCGGAAGGAGAAGGAGAAGGAGAAGGGGAAGGAGGCGGAGGGCAAGGGAGGGAATGCGGATGGAAGGAAGGAGGGCCCCCCTGTACGTGGTCTCGACTTCCTCATGCGGCCCCAGCAATCCTCCTCCACCACCGCCTCTGCTGCCACCACCACCGCCTCTGCTGCCACCACCACCGCCCCTGCTGCCACCACCGCTGCCCCTGCTGCCACCACCGACGGCGCTGCTGCCACTACCACCACCACCACAGCTGAACCTGCTGCTGCAGCAGCAACAGCAGCCTCCTCCTCTTCCGTCCCTGAGTGTAACCTGCAGCACCTGCATCAACTGGCAGAGAGCCACGGGTTACGTCTGGCCTCCACTCGACCCCCCTCCTCCCCCTCCAACTTCATCTTCTGCCCTACCGCTCAAGACCTCGCCCCTGCTGCTCCTGCTCCTGCTGCGTCTCCTACTGCTGCCGGTAACACTCCTCTCCCGATAGGGCACAACCCCGCAGCTGTGGTGCACTTCCAGCAGCATTGGCAGCGGGGGGAGCCCATTATCGTGCGCCACGTGATGCCGCCTTCTGTGAAAGACGGACTCAGCTGGGCCCCGCTCGTCATGTGGCGCGCGTTTCGAGAGACCAAGGAGGGGCGCAGCGTGCAGGAGAAGCTGACAGTGGTGGCGATCGACTGCGAGGACTGCACAGAGGTGGAGCTTGGCACGCACCTCTTCTTCGAATGCTACACAAACGGCGAGTCAAAGAGTGCAAAGGTACCGGACATGCTCAAAGTGAAGGATTGGCCGCCCACTGCTGCATTCCAAGACCGACTGCCTCGGCACGGCGCCGAGTTCCTGCGCGCGCTGCCGCTTCATGAGTACACACATCCGGAGAAGGGCCTGCTGAACTTGGCTACAGCGGTGCCGACGGGTGACCCGAAGGCAGACATGGGCCCCAAGGCGTATATCGCGTATGGGGTGAGGGAGGAGCTGGTGCAGGGGGACTCGGTGACCAAGCTCCACTTCGACATGGCTGACGCGGTGAGCAGGGTGGGGGGTGGTGAGAACAAAGGATGGATATCAATCGTGCTTTCTGTCTTTCTCTCTCTCCTTCTCACCTGTTTCACCCCATCTCTGTGCCTTCACCCCACCGATACCCTTGAGTCATCCCTTGCTCGTGTTCTGCCCTGTTTTCCCCCACCCTCTACTGATCCTCCCTATTCCACATCCCCCTGCTTCCAGGTGAACATTCTGACCCACTGCCACTACCGCCCGCCCAGCAAGCGTCTGCAGGGGCTGATGCGGAAACACGCCGAGGGGAATGAGGCAGAGGCAGGGCATGAGAATGGTGTGGCGACTAAGAGCGAGAAAAAGAAGGAAGCGAGCAATGGCAAAGGGCGAGGAGGTGGAGGGGGCAGCGAGCAGCAGCAGCAGCAGTCAGTGGGGAGTGCTGGTGGGCAAGTGCTGACAGCGGGGGGGGGAGAGGGAGCAGCGCTGTGGGATATCTTCCGCAGGGAGGACTCGGATAAGATCCGTGCCTTCATCGCTCGGCACCAACACGAGTTCCGGCACCTGCACAACCAAGTCATACAGTCGGTCTGTGCCCCTTGCCTCTCTCATGCCCCACACCTCTCCCATGCCCCACACCTCTCCCATGCCCCACACCTCTCCCATGCCCCATGCCTCTCTCGTGCCCCACGCCCTACCATCCATCAGCGTCCAATTCCAGCCTTATCCATGCGAAGTCATCCTGGTCCATACATGTTCCTATCAATCAATCAATGGCAAAGAGCATGATGCCCACCTTCTCATTCTCCTTCCCTCCTGCGCTACCCGTGCTGCTCCACGTTTGTGTGAGAGCAGATGGACGATGAGATTCACGACCAGACTGTGTATCTCACCGCCCGGCACAAGGAGATGCTCTATACTGAGTATGGTACGTCCCGTGCCATTCGTGCTCGCGCTGCCCCTTAGTATGAACACGCAGCCAGCCATCTCTCAATGTGCGGTGTTGACCATCTCCTTGCCCATGCCCCTGTACTTCTTCCTATCCATATCGTCCATACCCTTGTCTCCCATACATGCCACCCTCGTCTGCTATTGTCACTTGTCGACCTTCATAACCTCTCCTCTACTCCCCATGCCTTCTCTGCGTGTACTATGGTCCCATCCCATGCACCTGCCCGCCTGCGTGGTGTGCAGGGGTGGAGGCATGGACCTTTGAGCAACGCAGAGGCGAGGCGGTGTTCATTCCTGCTGGCTGCGCACACCAAGTCAGAAACCTCATGGTGTGTTTGTTAGTGCCAAGCCACATGCACGCAAGGCACGCACGTGCGCGCACGCACATGCGCAACAAGCATTCATGCATGCAAATCACGCACGAGTGGTTCCATTACCCGTGTCTCACTCAACGGTTCCACCGCTCGTACAGCACCATCTGTTCACCAATCTATGATGGATTTGTCGCCAGATTCAGAAATTTTCAAAGCGTCAAAACGTTTGACTCTCTGGCCAAAATTTTCCGGGCAGCCCGAATTCGAAAAAAACGTCCGTGTGCTATGTAGTTGATGGAGGACGAGGCAAACTTGGATGTATGCATGCTTTTACTTATAAAGTACTTCTTCTTCATGACTGCCCCACATATCCTACAATTCTTGCTCCCCACCCAACCCCCCCCCCCCCCCACCCCCCAACTTCTCTTACTAACCCCCCTGTTCCCAATACCCCTGCCCGGGAGTTTTTTTTTGCCTGCCCGCCAGAGCGTCAAACTGGGGGGTACCCCTGGGGACAGGGGGCGTCAAGAGCGTCAAATCCATCATAATCACCGATGCCTTCCCCCCCCCCTCTCTCTCTCCCCCCTCGCTCCACACGCTGCCCCTCTCCCAATCCCACCACGAGCAGTCAAACATGAAGATAGCAGTGGACTTTGTTTCTCCGGAAGGCACCTCGCACTGCTTGGCGCTCACTGCTCACGTGCGCACCATGCCTGTGCGCCACCGCTCCAAGGAGGACAGGCTTGAGGTGAGTACGGTAGCGCAAGGGCAGGGCAGGGGGGGATGAGGGGAAGGGAACAGGTGGCAGGTGTAAAGCGGTGGAAGGGAGTGGGTGAAAGATTTGAGAAACACCTGTCCATTGTCACCTTTTTCTGGTTATCACCGCTTCAAAACAGCATGCTCGGAGAAGGAAAAGGAAAATAGGTACAGGGCATTTGATAAACTGTGGATGTGTTCGCTTCTCCCTTTGAATTTCGTTTCCCTGCAGGTGAAGAGGATGATACTCCATGCCGTTGAGCGGTCCCTCGCCATCCTCAAGCAAAGTGCGTAGCAGTGGCACGAGCTTATCATTATGGTGACAGACTCATGGAACTTTTCTGGAGTGCCATTTAGACAGAAACTTTGATGCCTAACAACCAGACTGAGCCTTTAGTCTTTCCAGCTTGTAGCATTCTGATACCGTAAACGCCCGGATATAAGACAGTGTTGAATAGTAGACAGGGGTTGTCTACTATACGGGTGTCTCTTATAAACAGGCTAGCCTCATTATAAGACACCTATTTGTGTGTACGAGATAAGACATATATGTCTTATAATCGAAACTTCAATACATTATAGCGAAAGTTGAAATAACGCGTACATTTTTACCCTTGCGAAGCGCGAATTCTTCCACGCGCTGACCCAGGACCTACCAAATTTGCCTCTGCAGGTGTTCTCCATGACGTGGCGTCCCGGGCAGTGGTTGCCGAAGTGGCACCTTCGCAACATCCACACTCATTATGAGGAACTCTTTTTCAAGAAGTACGGAAAAAAATCTAAGTAGATTAATAAGTTTCCATTTATAAGACTTATAAGACATGTCAGAGGTCCACTGGGGATCCCCGATGATCCTAGGGAAGGGTTACAGGCACGTCGGCCTGGAGGGTTATGGGCGCACTCACCCGCTATATAAACAAGCCATTTTATCCCAGTGGTTAGTGGCTGGGATTCTGACATTGTATTAGAGCGAAGGTCTCGGGTTCGATTCCCGGTGTGTGCACTTCGGGCATCCCAGTGCGGGGGGGTGTCAGAGGTCCACTGGGGATCCCCGATGATCCTAGGGAAGGGTTACAAGCACGTCGGCCTGGGGGGTTATGGGCGCACTCACCCGCTATATAAATAAGCCCTTTTATCCCAATGGTTAGTGGTTGGGATTTTGACAAGACACCCTAAACCATCCCGTTTACAAGATAACTCAAGCATTTTTGCCCGTGTACGAGATAAGACATATATGTCTTATATCCGGGCGACGACGGTAGCACAAAAGCTTGACCTTCACAAAAGACTTCTATCTATACTATAGTACTTCCAGCATTTCTATGTTACACTACAACCAAAGAAAGGCCAACCTATAGACAAATGAAGAGTCCCACCTTTGGCCCAGAAACAGCCCCTCTGACATAGGAATTCTTGGAGAGCACGTTGGCTGGCAACAGAGCAGGATGCTTTAGAGAGAGTGAGCAAGCTAAGGCTGGCTCAATAAGCACCGTGTTATTTCAGTCTAAGTGGCAACTGCGTCAGACCGGGTACTTGGACTTCCGCGCTATCTTAGCCGCCACCTTCTTTGGCACCTTCAGCCCCTTCTTCTTCCCCTTCACCGTTTTCCGCGCACTGAACTTGCGCCCACCGCTGGTCCCTTTAAGCGCTTTCCCCCGGGTCCCCTTGTTCTTCCCAATCACCTTGCCCCGCACCCCGAGCCGCTTGTTCTTCGCACCCTTCCCATCCTCGTCCATGGCCGCTGCGTCCTCCGCGTTTCCCGCTCCTTCTGCGTGCATCTCCGCGTCTGGCGTGAGTCGGCACGCGTACAGAAGGGGAGGCGTTTGGGGCGCAGGGGAAGTAAACGATGGGCGATGGCGTAATTGCGTATGTGGGTGAGGGAGGTGAGGGCATGGCAGTCCCATGGCACAAGAAACAAGGAGACATTCAGCTAGGATTACCTTCGCCTGAAGAGCCGCCCTCTTTTTTTTGCGCCATTTTCTCGACGTGCGACGTATACACCGACGGCGCTGCCACTATAGCTTCGAGAATATTGCGAGTAGGCTCCTCCTTTGCGTCGTAGTGTTGCTCCGCAATGTCCCGCTTCTTCGCCTTCAGCCGCTGGATGCGCTTCGACCGTAACGACTTGCCCATCCTGCCTCAAGAGGTTTATAGGTCTGTAAGATGTGTAGCTAACGAGAACGCTAGTAGAAATTAGTGGGTAGCAGCACAAGCTCTTCGAGGTGAGAGTGTGAAGGTTGAGGGGAGGTGGTGTCGGAAAAATGAAACCTCCGACGGAGGGATAAGGTTTTGTCAGGGGTTGGTGAGTTGATATGGATGGTAGCACCAAACATGTATACACCGCAAAGCCAAAATTTCCTGCCAACTGGTAAACAATGTTTGGACAGAAACCTAGATCCTTACTAATTATTTTTCAGTGAGATTTAATCAAAATCAAACAGAAATAAGACTTGTTTCTATTATAAATTTAATTATTATATATGTTTTATAAAAGCATATAGAACTCACGAGTATTCATGCGTATGAAGGCGAAAAACGATGTCTCCCATAGAGTACTTTGTCAGTATCCCTGTGTGGGCTGCGTAAATTTAGGAGGGCATCCCAGGGACGAATGGTCGAGAGGGCTGAAGCCCTGGGCGCTGCTCGAACCTCCAAGGGTTTGCTGACAGCAAATCTGACCAATAATTTAGCGATCATTTCGTAGCTGCCAATCGCCTAAACGGGTCGTCGCCGTCACCACCACCAACAGATCCAGACGGCGACGGCAAATCTTTGGTGGCATGACGTGTGACCATCGTTACCTTGGCAATTTTAGTTGGTAGATTCAGCAGAGCCAGGTCTGACCTTTCAGGTGTCCCGCATTTTCCGAACCGAGCCGAGACGTTCGCGCCCCTGAATCTGAAGCTCCCACCAATAGGAAACATCGGTGTGGTACATTTACCCGACCTCCTGATTTCTGGAGTCGCCGAAACACCACTTCTGCCCTGGCGTGGTGTCCAGGTCATCCCCTCCAGCAAAAATGCAGTTTGGTGGCATACGGGGCTTCGTCCCCCCACCGAACCTCCAAACCAAAATGTCATTGAACTAGGCGCGCGAATCTCAGATTTGTCCAGACCAGATTTCAAGCTGCCCGGTGCCTCGTCATTGGATGCCCTGGAAATGCCGAACCTGAAGGGTGCTTGTTGTGGCCCCTGTGAGACAATTCAGGTTCGGCCAGAATGACCGAAGTTGCGACGGGCAGGACAGGACAGGTCAGAGAGAGGGTGGAGGGCGAGGCAGAGCAGCCACCATTGTTGTGACCGCCGCCGACGTATCCATGGCGGTCAGTTGCGCGTCAGGTCACCATACGGACAAGATCCATGTCCCCCCGTGCGTGAGACAGGACTTCTAATCCCCTTCCTCCGCACTTCGTTGCACTATTCCGTCCCTTTTGAATGCACTTCGTTGCACAGCGAGATCTCGCTGCACCAACTCCTTCCCCACCGTCGCCTTCTGGCGACAGAGAGCTTTCCGCCATGGTCCGGAGGGAAGACAGAAGCATGTCCCCGGATAAGACTCCGCGTTCTTCCGCCATTCGCGCGACGACACAACCACATTCCCTCATGTCTCCAGACCTCGCCACAACTCCTTCCAAGCGCACGGTTTCCCCGGCGCCGCAGCCGCAGACGAGTCGGCGGTCGCGAGCGGCGGAGCGGCGATTCATGGCGGTGATGGCCGTGAGCCTCATGATCGCCCTGAGTTCCTCCGCATTCGCCGCCGCAGTCGACACATTCCCTCAGTGGGGCCCTAACATCATCTCTCGAGCCGCGCGCTTGATCTCCGACCAGTCCCCTCTCTCGGACCTGATCTTCCGAACCAGTCGCGACTTTTTCGGTATAAGCACCGTCCGGCTGGACGAATCCCTAATAGACAGAGTGCTCGTCTCATCCAGCAGCAGTCCCGCCAGAAACTTCTACGTCGCGCTGTCGGCATTGCTCAGCGCGTCCGGGATCTGCTGCGCGGCCGTTTTGACTCACGGGCTCGGCGGGCGAATGAAGTACCGCCACCTGGCATGGATGTTCTTCCAGCCGTTCGTGGGCGGCGTGCGGTTCATCCTCATGCAGGCCATGGCGTGGACTCTCTTCGCCTTCTCCCTCCTCGTCTTCTCCAGCGTCGCGTGTGTCGCCGCATTCATCGGCCGCGCCTTGCTCGGCCAGGGCCTGCTAGCGTCCGCCGGCGTTACCGGCCTCGCGTCCGAGTTCCTCTTAATCGCCTCCTTGCTCATCTTCGAGTCGCCCAGCGAATGCTCAAGCGCGCCGAGTAGCGACTTCCCGTCGCCGTCCACCCAACGGCATTCACCCAGTAAGAGTCCGACGAAGCCGATCCACGCGACTCGCGAGTCGCTTAGAAGAACAGCGGAGGATGCGACGACGGCAGCGGCTGATTTGGAAGCCGCCGCGCGTGTATTACTCCGGAAACAGGTGGAAGAGACAGACGAGTCTGCCATAGAAGCGCGCGGAAAGGAGGGAACCGCGGGGAAGGCGGGGAAGCAGGGGGGCGAAGGCGCGACGGCGGAAAAGGGCGAGATGCGCGTGGTGTGCCCCGCGCCGTGGACGGAGCGCCAGCTCGCCATCGCGACGCGCAGACCCGCGGAGATGCTGTCGCTGCTGCTGGCGGGCGCACTGGGGAAGGCGGGGAAGGGCGCGGAGGGGGGTCTAGGCGCGAGAGATGGTGCGGAAGCGGAGGAGGAGAAGAGAGACACGAAGAATGATGAGCGGAGCGGCAGCGAGACCGCGTCGGACGCGGACGGCGTTCCGGAATCCATGCCGCTACTCGCGGCGGAGGAGAACGAGGAGAGCAAGGACGGGGAGAGGATACATCTGGAAGCGCCGTTGACGGCGTGGGAGGTGCTGTGGTGGTGCTGGGTCAAGACGCGATCCTTCTGCTCGGTGTGCTTCCTGTACGCGGTACAGCACGCGCTCGCCATCGCCATCTGCATGCCCGCCGTGTGCTGCGAGCTGCGCACGGCAGCGGTCGTGTACGCGTTCGTGCTGGCGGCGTTCGTCTACTGCAACACGTGCGGTAACGACCGCGAGAGGAACGGCAAGAGCCACTGGCTGTGGCTGCAGCCATAGTGAGTGCCGCTCCACTCGCGATATCTGTTCATGTGTTCTTCTGCCCTCGCGACGCTGATTGCAACGGTTAACTCCTTGCCAGCTTGTCTCCTCGCCATTCCTCCATCGTCCTTTGCCTGATCTCGTCGACCTCTCAACCCTTCTCCTCCGTTCCCCCCGCCTCCCCCTTGTCCCGCGTCCCCCTCCCCTTGCGCATTCCTCGCGGCCGCTGTGGCACGTTCCGCGGCGGCTGTGGTGCGTTGCGCGCGCGCAGCTGCATGTGGTTGTTGGAGGAGTGTTCCGCGGCCTACTTCAACACAGTGCGCATCGTGCGCGAGGGGCACGCGTCGCTCTACCCCGCCTCGCAGCGCTACATCTTCACCTACCATGTACGCTCGTTGCTCGAACGCCGTTGCTTCCTCGCACACTGCACACGTCGCTGCTTTCTAACACGCCGCGCACCTTCCATGTACCGAGAGCTTCATGTACCCTCTTGCCTTCAGTTCTACTTCGCTCCCCTCCCGCCTTTCCCCTCTCCTTTCCTCACTCCCCTCTTCCCCCATTCTTCCCCCACCCCCTCTCCCCCACCCCTCCCCCGCACATTCCCCCCTTCCCCCGCCCACCAGCCGCACGGGCTGCTGCCGGCGATGATGGCGTGGTTCTTCCGCACGGGCGCGTGGGCGGCGCTGCTGCCGGGCATCCGCCCCGTGGCGCTCGTGGCGTCCGTGCTCTTCCGCGTGCCGCTGCTGCGCCAGCTCGCCCTCTGGGGCGGCCTGCGCGAGGTCTCCCGCCAGGGATTTGCTGCTGCCATTCAAGACCAGCAGGCTGCCATCCTGTGCCCCGGCGGACAGGTGCGGATGGTGGGAGGGGCTGGGCGGAGGGGATACGGGAGGGGCAGGGTTGGATGAGGGGATATGGGGGGGAGGGGCTGGGAGAGTGGGACGATGGTTACGGGAGGAGGGAAGGAGGGAGGGAAGCAGGGATGCTTCCTTGAATTTGATCAGTGGGCCCTGCTGAGTTGTTTCTGAGCTCTCCTTGTCCCTTGCATCTCCACAGCCCTCGTCACCCACTCTCAGCGCACTCACATCCACGCCCACCCCCATGAACCCCCCTGCTCCCTGCTCTGCCCTCTCTGCTTTCTGCTCTCTCCTCTCTGTGACCCCCATCAGTCGGAGCTGTCATACCACACGGCGAGCAGTGAGCGAGTGGTGGTGCTGTGTGCGCGCAAGGTGGGCTTTGTGCGCATGGCACTGGACACGCGCTCAATGCTCGTGCCTGTCTTCTGCTTCGGCGAGGCTGCTCTCTTTGATAACCTCTTTGACATGCCCTCGCTGCAGGTCCGCACAGCTAATCGGGTAGTTGTTTGGGAAGGGGTGGGGTGGGGAGGGTGTGGGGGAAGCGGTGGTTCTGTGTGGGGACGCTGCAGGGCTACTGTTGTCGCCTGCATGTGGATGTTGGCTTGTCCCATCGGTTATTCGTCGCTGTACCTTGCTACCCACTCCACTGTGTCCACCTCGCTCCGCGCGCAGCACTCACAACCTCCCTTTCCCCCCTCTCCCTTTTCTGCCCCTCTCCTCTCTCCACCCCTCCCCACGACCTGGTCCACTCCGCAGCGCTTCACGTACCGGCGATTTGGCTTCCCCATCCCATTCCTCCCCATCGGTCTCTTCGGCCTGCTGCCTCTCCCCCGCACCTCACCCGTAACCCTCGTGGTGGGCCGTCCCTTTGACCCCGCGGCCCTGCTGCCGGCACCACTGCAACCCGGCGAGCAGAGCTCTGTGTCAGCAGAGCAGCTGTGCACCATCCGCGACCGGTACTACGAGGAGGTGCATGCGCTGTTTGAGCGGCACAAGGCGCGCTGGGGCATGGCGCACGCTCAGCTGG